CCCCCCCCTTTCACTAGTCATTTCTTTGAGCCATGAAAATGGGCGTTTAGCGGGTGCTCTTACTTTTGTTATCTTCTTTCTTCTTAATATTGTTTGCCGGTTTCTGTGGTTGCGATATCTCCCTTGTATGTACAAGACACTGGGGTTGATTGCTAAGTGGGGACGATCTTTTGTCGTTGACAATCTCCATGTTTCTGTTGTGGAGCCATGTCCACAGCGCCCGGGTTGGCGCCATCGTGGTCCAAATTGTGTTGAGAGAAGCGTAAAACGCTTACTTTCAATGAACCCATCGGAGACGTGCAATCTGGTAAGTGGACAATTCCTCAAGAACCGCTGCTTTGGAGCGCTTAAAAAGAAGCGTAAAAACCTGCTGGGCGGTGCAACTGACTGAAGTGTCTTTAGGCCATTCCCAAAGGGGGGACATTTCTCGTTCATGCACAGTAGAATTGTAAATGGGCTGATTCATCAATGTGACGCTCATAACTGCCTGATCTACAACAGGGAACTGCTGTTTTTTTAATTTCCTAATCCATATTATTGTCATTTTCCTCTACTTCTTTTGTATGTTTGTCACAGAGTGACCCGCTATTTCCGGGGTGCCTTGATAGTACTGTGAGCAGAGTAAGTCTGATTCCCTGTAAGGACTTCTCTGTTGACATCCACCCGTTGGTGCTCATATGACCTTAAGCAGTTGCGAGCGCCGTAAAACCTCTGCTGTTAGTTTTTCAAATGATTTGTCTTTCTTCTTTAAAGATCTATCTGTGCCATCTGGCCAGCCAGTCAATCAGTCAGCTTTATATTCTGTCATATTGAGTGCATGTTATTCGTATGCCATAAAATGTTTAACATATCTCTTCCCCAAATACAATCACCAGGGGAGGCAATTCTGAACAAGAAGGCTGTCTACGAGCCATCCAAGACGCAGCGCTTCCGTCAGATCGTCTGCTCGCGCGGAGTGGCTGCCTGCATCCTGGTCGCCATGGGCATCCTCATGGTAGCCATCGCCGTCATCGCAGCCTTTGCGCGCCCTGCCTCGCTCTCCGACTCGTGCGGCGCTCCCAGCAGCAGCGGAAGTGACGCGTCCTCGGGCCACGGCGCGGCCAAGACGTACATCTCCACCAATGGCGAGCCGTTCCCCTGGAAGAGCCTGCGCCTGCCCCGTAGCGTGTCCCCTGAGGCCTACAGCATCTACCTGAACCCCAACGTGAGCGAGTCGTGGTACAGCGGCCGCGTGAGCATGGAGCTCCGCGTGGACCGCCCCACCGACTTCCTGGTCTTCCACAGCTCCAAGGTCACCGTCTCCGAGGTGCATGTGTCCTTGAAGCGGCGGGCCGGCCCCGTGGACGCGGGCGGGGTGGACGTGAGGGAGGTGGATCTGGGTCAGGACCTGGAGGTGCTCAAGGTGTTGGAGTATCCGGGCAACGAGCAGGTGGGACCAGGGTTGTTTTTTTTTGTCAGTTCATTTTGTGTGTTCGTGTCTTTTGTCTGTTCATGTCTTTGACGTTTAGAAATCTGCCCCTTCATCCTCCCTAGAAATGTGTGTGATGTGTGCTTCGGAGAGTGATTGGGAGAGGAAAAAGAAAAGATATGCCGACAAAATCTACTTCGG